ACCAGCAGGTTAGGGTTGCAGGTTGACCTCGCAAAGATGGCGCCCGTAATTTTTGTGCTGCGACAATGGGGGCTATACTCATATTATATTATTGTCTTATATTATTTTCTGCTCTGATGCATATTCAGTAAAGAGGAAGGGGTGAGAACAATATCCGGGGACGTAGTCCGTTCTGTCTGCTGTTCTTGTGAATTGGACTAGGGCTCAGGCTGAGCACGAGAACGAATAACAACAACACATATTGGGAAATGGCCTGGGACTCTAAAGGGGTTAGTGCCTCACCAACCATGAACCTCACCGCACGTCACCGGGGTAATCATATTTTGACGGACTGCTTAGAGCGTCTCCAGTGATCTTCCACTCCGCTACGGTCGACGGCCGAAGTGGACCTCTGTCCAACCGTCCCAATGCCAAGTAATTATTTGCTGTTCTTTTTGTGTGGATGGTTCTATATTGAAGAAATTAACAACTAAAGGGGGGTTTCCAAGGCAGACAATCATGTAAAATATATATATTTTTTTTTTGTTCTCAGAAAAACAATATATGTATGTACAGGAAAAAAAAACAAGTTGGTGTTTCCAAAATGTAGAAACAATAAAATTTTGTTGAGCTGTTTTTGACTTGTTTTTCTTGCTCTTATTTTAGAAAAATAATGAAATCAAAATGAATTCCTAAGCTTCTTTTTTAATATAAAAAAAAAATAAACCTGATCTCTAAGTTTTACATTTTCTTAAAAGAAAATGAATTTACAAAATAAAAATTGTTGTAGAGTTGTACAAAGCGCAACATTTCAACACAAAGGATTCTTCTTCAGGCAGTGGTGCACCTTCCCAATTTGCTGCCGTGTTAGAGAGAGGTCTTGTTCTTTTGCTGGTCAGAGCAGAAATGGTTAGGTTTAGTTTAGGGTCAGGGTTTAGGTTTAGGGTTGTCAGGACTCCTGTCTGTGTGTTTGTGTTTTCTGTGTTTGTCTCCCTTCCTCCACCAGGAGGCACCTGGTTCTGGTCCGCCTCCTGGGACACCTGTTGATGGTTTCCTTGTTAAACGGAGTGTTCTTTAGCTGCTGACTGTCACTACCTCGATGCCAGAGTGTTTCCCAGTTTTGGGTATTCTAGCCAAGCTGAGTTTTGCTGAGTCAAACTGAGTTTTTGTCAACCTGAGTCTTAACATTGTTTTTGTCTTTGCCTCTCGGTAGGAAGTCATCCTGCAAACTGGATGTTGCGGACCTTCTCTCCCTTGAAGGATCATCTGAGCTTCAAACTGAGCAGGAAATCTGAGTGGCAGTCAGTTTCTCACTTCATCTACAAACAACCGCATTCTGGGTAAACCCTGTCCGCTCTCCACTGAACCAGACAAACACTGGAACAACAGCACACAGACTGGAGACCAAAGAGTCAACAACTTCTCTGGAAATGTGAGTCAGCTATCAAATCCTACTCTTCAAGTTCACAAATCAAATTTCCCACTGAGCCTGAATTAACCGCTGTGTCTTCCCCTCACTTTTCAGTTCTGGTTGAGCAGTGTTCAGAGCAACACTGGATTCCTCACAATTTCCTAATAAACCTGTTAAACCTTTTCCCTGGTCTCCCTGTTTGGTCTTCTGCATTTGGGTCTGAACTTTAGTAAAATCATGACAAGGATCATGTTTAGGGCCCCTTATGGTTGTCTGTCTGCCAGTATTATCACCCTGCTCAGTTAATAACAAACATACATCATAAAGCATCGCCAGAGGATCCTGATAAGGTTTATGAGTCCTGGTCAGGACAGTCAAAAGAAAACACTGAGCCTCAGATCAAACATAAACAGAAGACATGATGCCGAGGATCTGGATCAGATAGAAGAGACAATAAATGACCTGTCACTCATTAAGGAAATGTAATAACAGGTGCCACCAAGCTGGCTTCCCAAACACAAGAAATTTGTACTACAAAAAGTCACCAGATTTAGTTAATAAAACCCCAAATGTTTAAAAACTTTGAATTAAAACAATGCAAAAACTTGATCCCGACCAAATTACTGTAGGAACCTCCTGCACCATGTGGTCCTAATACAGAGCAGGGGCAGGTGAAAGAACGAAAGACCAGCAGAGTCAGCAGAAAACACACCTGACAGCCAAACAGACTCATGCAGGAAACTCTCTCAACAATCTGTCTGTCTTTTTAATGTTCTGATAATTTTTGAGCTCGTTCCATCAGCGTGGAACCACAGATGGACCAGCTCTGGTTCTCCGGGGTACCTTTGACCTGGGCAGGAAGCTGTGTGGGTCCTGTGGTCGAGCAGAGAAAAGAGCAACCACAAGGACCTGGCTCTACTGCACCTTAAGCCTGCTGCCTTTATAAGCCAATCTGGGCAAAGCACGCCCATGACATCAGCGCCTGGTTCTGGATGCATAGCCTCACTGCCCCAGGGTGTGTCTGCTAACACCATGACCTTTGACCCATGAAATACAACTCAGTTTCTCTGAAATCATTCCTGAGTTTGCAGGAAGTCATGTGACACATCACTGGCTCAGCCCTTGAGTTAGTTTTTTTTTTTTTTTTATGAACCAGAAAATCCAGGGCACGGGTACTGCTCCATGGGTCCTGTTCATAGGTCCTGGGCTGTGGTGCTGCTGCCTGGGTTCTGGGCTTGGGCCATGGTTCCCTGAATCCTGCTGCCTTGGCCTGCACCAGGTCCTGCTGCCTGGGTCCTTGGACAAGGTCAGGTCCTGCTCCCTGGGTCCTGGGCCTGGGTCAGGTCCTGCTCCCTGGGTACTGGGACCAAGTCAGGTCCTGTTCCCTGGGTCCTGGGCCTGGGTCAGGTCCTGCTCCCTGGGTCCTGGGTCAGGTCCTGGTCCCTGGGTACTGGGACCAGGTCAGGTCCTGCTCCCTGGGTCCTGGGCCTGGGTCAGGTCCTGCTCCCTGGGTCCTGGGACCAAGTCAGGTCCTGTTTCCTGGGCCTGGGTCAGGTCCTGCTGCCTGGATCCTGGGCCTGGGTCAGGTCTTGCTCACTGGGTACTGGGACCAGGTCAGATCCTGCTCCCTGGGCCTGGGTCAGGTCCTGCTGCCTGGGTCCTCTGGGGGCCTTGCAAGCTGGAGGAGCTAAACTCCTGGCGGGTCAGGTAGAGGCTGTGGTCATGCTGTGGACTCATTCTGCTGGGTGTAGGACCAGTCGCAGACCTACTCCAGGGTCCTCTGAGGGTTCCCCACAAAGATAAGCTCCTGGGACTGCAGAGGCCAGTTGGACGAGGTGGAGAGCATGGCCCGGCGCTGCTGCAGCCTGCCGCCTTTATAAGCCAATCTGGGCAAAGTACACCCATGCCATCAGCGCCTGGTACCCGAGGCATATCCTCACTGCCCCAGGATGTGTCTGCTTACACCATGACCTTTGACACCTGTGCTACAGCTCAGTTTCTCTGAAATCATATTGAGCCTAATGAGTTTACAGGAAGTCACGTGACACAACACTGGCTCAGCCCTTGAGTTAGGTTTGTTTTTTTCTGAGTCTGGACTGGACAAAAAACTGCTCTAAACTGAGATTGTGTGAAGGATTGCCTTCGAGTTAATGAGTCAATGCAACCAATTGGTTTTCCTTAAATAGAAAACTTTGAACCAATCTGACTGAATAATCTGGTGAACTGTAAAGTGTCCTGAGATGACATCTGTTGTGAATTGGTGCTTTAGAAATCAACTAAGTTGAATTGAATTGAGAGAAGAAGCAGAGAAACTCTGAAAGCTGCTCTGTACTTTTAGGAGGTAAACTCTTCTCTCTGCCCGTCAGAAGGAAAGTGAAACTAGTTCCAGATGCTGATGTCAGAGCTCTGCTTTGCCCTGATTGGCTGTTAAAGGCTCATAAATGGGGCAGGCTGAGGCTGCAGGGGAGCCAGGTCCTCGTGGAGCATCCGAGTCCTGCGAGTCCTTGTACAGCCTCTAAGTCTTGCTGGTCCTCGTGCAGCTTCTGAGTCCAGCTGCTGAACAGAGTAACTCTCCCTCTGAGGTGAGTCCACAGTGGGTCCAGGGGAAACAGCCTTCAGCTTCGAGGAGGGAAAAACCACTCAGGAAGTGTTAGCGCAGATGAGGGCAGCTGCTGACAAACTTTTACAGCCCAACTGCTTTCTCTGGTTCTCTTAGTGTTGCATCAGGTCATGTTTCCACTTCTGTCTGTAATATCTGCTGGAATAGAGATCATTTTGGGGAAATCGGAGCTATAGGCAAAAGGCAGAAATTCAAAATTTAAATTTAAAATATTCTTACCCCAACCCTAAACTAACCCTGACCCTAAACTTTAGGGGAGTGGTGTTCTAGTGATTAGAGCATATGGGTCCTTCTCAAAGTATAAGCAGTGCCACAGGCTGATTGAAGCAGTCATTCCAGACCCAATATTGATTGCATAACTGTACATAATTATTTCAAGGTTTACTTCTTTTTGTATTAATAATGCTTTTCTTTTATTGGTCGGATGAAATATGCTAACTTTGTGAGATAGGACTTTGGGGTTTTCATGAGCTCTATGCCAAAATCATTATTTTTAAGACAGTAAAAGACTTGAAATATTTCTATTAGTGTGCAATGAATCTAAAATATATGAATGTTCAAGTTTTATCATTACATTATGGAAAATACTTACCTTTATCACAATATGCTAATATTTTGAGAAGGACCTGTAGAGCTTTGAATACTGAGGTTGTGTTTGAAACCCGCTGACCCTTAACCCCCACACTGCTCCCCGGGCGCCGCAAAAGGCAATCCTCTGCTCCCCAAGGGGATGGATTAAATGCAGAGAGTGAATTTTGTTGCTCTGTACTTATGATAATGAAAACAAAAAAAAAAAAAGCTTGAAAACAAAAAGAAAAATTAACCCTGACCCAGGTAGCTTATGAGGTGACCCTGGCCCCGATCCACTAGCATCTGGGTCAGTTTCCTGGTGCTTTGACCCCCTGTTTGATTATTTCCAGTTAACAAGTGTGTTGTTGTTTTTAGTGCTTTTGGACAAAGACTGATGACTTTTAGAGGGTTGGTCAGCCGCCTGAGTGAGTGCTGAGAGCTGCTGTCTCCTTTCAGATCTCAACCATGGGGAACGGGGGCTCGGTGACCAACAATACTCCTTACGTCTGGGTGTTTGACAAAGGGAGACAGGTCAGTCTCATCTAAAGAAGGCAGCCCTCTTTCTGTGTGGGATCATTTAGTCATTTTCCTCCTCTTTTAGGTTTCCCAAGACGTCTGTAGATTATACAGAAACAGCACAGAAAAATATTCTGAAGAATTTGCTTACAACCATGAGCTGTGGTTTCGATTTGAAGATCACTCAAACTGGGACCTGAAATGTTGGGGCGAAGGAAACTCATTCACCATCAGAGAGAGCAGCAACCGGCAGCTTTTTGAACTGGTCAACAACTCATCTCGTCAGGTGGTGGACACGTGTCCCCACTTTGGTAAGTCTGAGTCTGTTTGTGTTTCATTAGCATCAGTTTATCTTCAGGATCTAGTGTCCATCCACCTTCCATGCAGCAGTGCCAATCCCAGAGGCGGGGCCTCCTGGGGGCAGAGCTTAACCCAGAGGAGGGGTCTTCTAGGGTGTGTGTGTTGGTGGTGGTGTGGTGGGGGTGTGCTACTTTTGCCAGAGGCGGGGTCTCCTGGTGGAGGTGGCTGAGCCTTTCTCAAAGAATGGGACCATTAGAAGGAGGAGCTTATCTCAGTGGAGGTGCCTCCTGTAGGAGCGGACCTTATACCAGAGGCAGGGCGAGGAGACTATACTGAGCTGGTGTCATCAGGTGGGAAAGCATTTCTCTAATGGGGGTGGGGCCTAAACCAGAGGTGGTACCTCCTAGTCAGCTCCGTTTGGAGGCCACAGTTAACCCAACTGCTGCCCTCTGCTGGCTGCCCAGCTCAAACTGCAAAGGCTAGTCAGACAGACAGACAGATGATCAACAGTTTCTAGCCCTCTGAGTCTGGAATGAGGACTAAAGTCTGTCTCCATCGGATAAACCTGCACCTGTAACAATCCTCACGACAAAACTGTAATATTTAAAGATATATAAGAAGGCCTACTATGAGACCTAGAAGGAGGAAAGAGTCAAACAAGAAAAAAAAAAAAAAAACGTTAACGGAGTCCCCCTCCTGCTTCCCTGGGCTGGATTTAGCTGGACCTCCATGTCTCCTGACCTTTGGTCCTCCAGCCCATGGGGTCCACACCCAGAGCTTCCTGTCTGGACAGCATCTCCAGTATTCTTTGGCCTTTTTTCTTTTGATTCAACAGTATTCTTCCAATCAGGAAGTCTGAGATCAGGAGAGCATCTCAGTCTCTTTCTGGTCTCGTCTGGAGATTTTCCAGCAGAGCGATGTGGGAGAAGTCAGCTTATTACAGACAGCCTACTATCTGAGCAAAATCAGCTTTTATGCTTTTGTTTATTTAAACTTCTTGTTTGGAACTGAGTTTTGCTAAAAAACAAACAAACAAACAAAATTGCCTAAAGAGATATAAACACAATAAACCATCCATTTGCCATTTGGATGGCAGAGGTATGACAAAGTGAAACTGCTGATGATGTTCTTTTTGACAGGAAGGATTGAAGAAGAGAAGCGAGAAGCACAACGCCAGCGAGAGGAGCAACAAAGGAGAGAAGAAGAAGAAAAAAGGCGCCAGGCAGAGCTGGAAAGAATGAGGAGAATCCAAGAACAGATTGAACAGGAAAAAAAAGAACTAGAAAGAAGAGAGCAGGAGAGACAACAAAGGGAGAGGTTAGAAAAGATGAAGATCCAAATGCAGATCGAAAAGGAGAATGACGCTTCCAGGAGAAAGCTCTGTAAGGCTAAGGAGATGCTTCAGGAGCAACAAAAGCACAAAGAGCGAATGTCCCACCACCAGCAGACCCAGGTCCTTCATCAGATGGTGGAAGACCACTCTGCTGACATAGAGAGGGATGAGGTGGGTTTAACTGGGTTCCAGCTAAAGCAGTTCTGCTCTCCAAGGTACCATGGAGCAGAGAGGGGCTGCTGATGATTGGATGGATGATAGATGAGAAATGGATGATGGATGGCAGATTGATGGTAGATGGATGCTTGATAATCAGAATCAGAAT